TGACTCGGCCGCCGGAGGTACTCGGCACGGGGGTTCCTCGCGATGGGTGAAGGTGACAGCCTGGGCGCTGCAAGCCCAGAGGACAGCACTGTGCTGAGTGTGGGCGAGGGGTACCAGCAAGAGCCAGAGGGGCCGATGGCGTGAGCGTTTCCCCCTCCCCGCAGTTGCCATGCGATGCCCTGTGCCCCAAACCCAGCCAAAGCCCCCTGCCCCCCCCCCCTTTCCGGGGGCAAAGCTATGCAGCACCACCCGCCCCCTGCCCCTCGCGCCGAGGGTCCCTGTCCCCACGCTCACCCCTCTATGTGCTCTCGCCCTCCACCGGATCCCCCAGCTCCAGCCTCGAGCACCTGGGAGGCTGCGGGCACATTGGACATCCCTCCCCGGCGCCCCCCCCAGAGCCCAACTCCCAGGGTCAGCCTGTCATCAGGACCCACTACAATATCCCTCTGCCGGCCCCTGCACCTCCATGGCTGCATCTCCCCCCTCCCACCAGCCCCGGGGCTCTGCCCCTTCGGAGAGAAGCAAGTTTTCCCCTCCACTGCAAGCTGTGACCCAGCTGTCCCCCTGGCCCCAAAACCAAACAAAGGGACCCAGGGCCCTTCAACAAGCCACGGGGGTGCCCAAAGAGAAGGAAACTCAGAGCACAGCCATCTTCTCCCCCCCAAGGCCTACCCCAAAAAGCCAGGGGAAGCTGTGCACCCCCCGGCCCTCCCCTGACGCACAGGAACACCAGCAGGACTCACGCCCGTCCACGGTGGAGATGCTACTTGTAAAAACCATGGGTCAGGACACATGCCAGGGCACGCACGACGCCTGGCAAAAGACACCCCCCAGCCCTCCAAGCCCAGAGAGCCCCCCCAGCTACTGCAGGCACCCCTGGCCAGTGCAGATGGCATTAGTGATGCTTTGCCTCGCGGGAAAGGAGGGAGCGGAGGGTCCCCGGAGACGCGTGAGGAGTTACCCACCAATTTCTGCCCGCGGCGACCGGAGGGCAACCCCCGTCTCCATGTATATCTATCGAGATAGATATACACACGCATGCAGAGAGGCACGGATCAGTTTTATTTCAGCCAGCAACTAATTGCGTAGGCAACACAGCATTAAAAAAGAAAAAAAAAAAAAAAGTCATGTTGTGAAAAGACTGTGTCATGTTAGGAGCTGCCAGGCCGGCAGTCAGGGAAGGTGGGGACACCCCTCCCTCCCCCAGACAGCGATGGGGGGTTTTGCATAGCTCCAGCCAGGGTTTTTCTGCAGTGGGGGAAGCCCGGGGCTCGGGTGGAGGAGAAACCACGCTCCTGCAGCTCCCCTGGCTGCAGAGCTGCCCAAAAAAGGGGGTTTTCCCGGGGAAAGAGGTTTTCTCCCTTGAGGTAGAAAATAACACCCCGTGCTAAGGACGGCCGGGGACAGACCCGTGCGAAGGGGCATCAGGGGGACGGGGGGTGCCTGGCCCTCCCCGTGGTGCCCCCTCGCTCGCCTGGCCACACAGACGACGGACAGAAGACAACAGAGAGGCCAGGCCGTGCAGGGACAGCGCGCGTCCCCTGCCATCCGCTTTATTGACCCCCACCCCCGCGGCAGGGGGCAACCCACA